CCAACATGACGCAAACCTCTTATAAATATACACAAAGTGCCATAAATTTTAATTTAAGAAAAGAGACACAATTTTGATGAAACTCTCCATAAAATGTCCACATAATTAATTAAAAATAACATGATCATTTACGTGTATTAATTATTTCACAAAGCTCCACAAATTATAAAAACTTATATCTTGGTAAACTTGTCTCCCATATTTTTGGCACTTGCAAAGTCAATTTTGGCATGAAAGTTTGGCAAGTCGCATGCCTTTCCAACAGCATCCAAAATTGCACGGGTCCTTTTCAGTGACCCAACCAATTTGTTGTTCTCCTGCCTCAGTTAGACAAAACACCCCAATACCATACTGAGAACCAAATGCTAAGGTCCTATGTAAAACTACTTCCTTTCCAGTCTCTCCAACTACTTTTCTAGCTGCAGAAAACTATGATTGGAGTGGGGTGGATAGGGTCAATTGGGAAGGGTGGAACCCTTATGACATTGCGTAACCAATAGCAACCTAAGGAAACTTAAGGCGACTTGAGGTGACTTTAGGCGACTTAAGGTCTCAGAGTAGGCCTAAATAATCTTATGGCCAGCACTGGACGAATGTCGGAAAATAGGTTTACAAAACGTGTTTCGACATTATCCATGTTGTCTTCCAAATGCTCGTATGACAATTTAGATTTAACTTTGCATGTGACGACAAAGGCGGCAGTTCATCTTTTACGTGATGCAATGTCATTGGGAAAGTAAATATGAATAGGTAAAAATTTATCAATGAACAAATGACAAAAAAAAGTTAAAATATTATTTTCAGGATTTGATATAAATGGATGCAAAGGATTGGATACAACTTTAGGCCCCTGCCTTAAGGTATGTTACAAACTCGTCGAAGATTGTGTGACTATCAAATCAATACACAAAAGCCTGCATCATGCGTAACCTTCAAAGCATCAGCGCAAATCGGTTCAATTATGCTAACGAGCAAAGGGTATCTTGATTCTGAATAATCATTGATATTTGCTAGACGCATTAGATTTTTTCCCTTCTAACAGCCATGTCTGTTGTCGGATACCTAAAGCTATTGCATCTGTGTGACGAGGAAATCAGTTGGCATTCTGAACGTAAGTGGTTGATACGTATTTACAAACGTTTTATTCCTGGTGGCTCGGAAGACGAGATCACAGACGTTGATTCGTTGCTCGACAAACTGCAAGAGAGAAGTGTTCTAGGAATTGACCGACTTGACGTATTGAAGGATCTCCTAGAAGGGATAGGAAAATGGGATCTTCTTCGAATGGTGAATGAATTTGAAATTAAGAGAAAAGGCTTCAAACAGTTTCTGGAGAAGATAAGTCATGCACTCGACGAGTCCAATGAACTGCAACGACTTATTTCAATCTGCAGAAGACAAAATCTCATAGCTCATGAAAGAGAAGGACACATCACAAACGTCAATGCATTGTTCACAGAGCTAGAAAATCAGAACAATCTGGGGATAGGAAATCTCAGTATCCTGAAAACCTTAGCAAATGAGGTCGAAAAATCAGATTTGTGCAAACTTGTGGATGACTTCGATGAGAAGAGAAAACAAGAAGACGATTCTGAGAGGAAAAGGAAAGAGTGGGAGGACTACAAACTAAAAGCACAAGGTAAGGGATAATTTCCAACTGAATTCCTTTTTTATCGAAACAGTTTTGAAGTTCCTCAACCAAACGTTTCGCGCTTGAAATCCAACATCGTCGATCTAATTTGCAATCCTCAGTTTAATGTCAGTTCAACCGATTGTTTGAGAATGTATTGAGAACTGTTAAAATCAGAAACGAAGCTGACGAAGAAGACATGCTGGACTATAATGTTAATACGAGTAAGTCGTCACTTTCACTTGCCGAGATGAAGAATGAGTTTAGACGCCTAGCCAGAATACAATGGCTACCAGTTGCGAAGCGAGTGTTTCCCTGCTCGATATTCTTGAGATTTTACAAAGGTTTTTGCTTAATTTTAAGCTCATAGCGTACGTAGATGTGCGGACAGCTTTGGTTAAGTTATTTGTGATTTTATCGATGAGGGTACAATTAGCACCTTCTTGAAGGAATCGATAGAGTGTTGGTAAGATTTGTTCAGACAATATGGCGGGCGAATAAACATTAATTTCGTTCCCAGGCCCTCTTCTGTATTCTTTTCAAAAACGGCGAGACGCTGTTCAGGAGACTTTTGCATGTGAGGTTTACATCCTCCCTGCAAATAAATATAAAAACTTACTAGTTACCGCGGGATGAGACTCCAAGGAGTAAATAAATGCTTGAAATTTGTCTTCAACCGCGTTAACAACTCTGTCTTGGACGTTGCCAATTTGGAAAACACTTTGGTAACCTGGTTGCCCATGAAAAAACACTGCGGTAGTAGTTGAGTCGAAAATAGCTTTTTTGTTGCTTGTATTCCTTGAAACGAGTCTCCAAGAGATGCAAGGAGTGAGGTTTTACCTCTCTGCATATCAGTTCATCCTTTACACCTTAAAATCAGCTTGTATATTCTCCATTCTGTTCTTTATACATTTGCTTTGGCACTGACAAAGAGGAATTTAGTTAATAATCAAGGACTTATTGAGTGTGCGATTATTCCTTTAATTCATGGACCTAATGTTTGATTCAGCAGTGACACCTTAGTGAGACATTAGATGGTGCTGTTCTACATCCTCAGTGGTTAAATAATTAATTTACCAGTGATCAGATGGCCCTGCTGATCAAAAATCCAAGCCAGATACATGAAAAGTCTGCAATGAGAAGTATTTCATAGATCAATGTTCACTACTTATCTCCTTGATTATTATTGAGTGAATAATCAATTTATTAAACATTCCAGCTCAGGCCGCATCTGTTCTAGTTGGTGGAAGAAAAATTGGAGAAAGGTTAATTGGAGGTAAGAGTGTCTTAATTTGTGCGCCTGAGTGACAAAGCCAAATTGTATGGAGTCTGAAACCTGAGACAGAACAACCCGCTACACAATGCGTCTAGGAGGCTCACGCTGCTAGAGTCCTTGCGTGGTTATCGCATACTTAAGACCACCATTGTCACCCTTACCAAAAATTTAAATGCAAGGATAGGAAACAACACATAAGTTTTCTTTTACATTTTTTTTCTGTGATCTAAAAGAATATTTTATGTTTATAGTCCCTCGACGTCTCTTTATTCATAAGCATCCTTGTCGTCTCTCTCAGTAATGTATAACTTTGGAAAATAAAAATCCACTAAAATCTAGTCTTTTCAAGGCTATCAGTGACTGGAGATAAGCAGAGGAGCGGGAAAGCAATGAGTCTAGGAATGAATGCTCTCCTAAGCCAACTCTCCCCCAACGTTTGTTTCTTTGCCTAGCCCCGCTTTTTCGGTCGACTCCATAAGCGCCTGGTGTAACCCCTATGATTTTTACACTTTTTACAGCTGTTACACCTCACTGTACTTTCCACAATCTTGTTGGTGGTACCGTGGTCGTCACTACATTGATGGTCCTTCGCAAGAGTCGCAACATGAAAGAATTTACCAATGCTTTCAAAGAAGCTGTTCTTCCATTGGAAAATGTCTTGCGTGCAATTGCTGAAGGATCGATCCGATTTACGATTCAAGCAGAAAATATTTTCGCTCTTGACGCACTATGGCAAAGTTATCAAGATGAAACACTACAGACAAATTTACAAGAGTTTCTTGTTACTGAGGAAATAGAGCAGCTGACAGGTGGTGAAGTGAGATTAACTGTGTACATCGACGAAGATGAATACAGAAATGCCAGGTTGGATTTGATGATATCAGGAATAGAAGGTAATTACACCAGAAATAGTCCCGCCATTGTGCATGACTCCTTGTGCGAGATGAATTAGAAAGATCTCTCGTTGTATCTAATAATGGGACGAATTACGGCTCCTAGAAGATGTGATTTGAAAATTGAAATTCTTGCGTTACGATCCATCCAAGATTCTTCCTCGTATGCGATTTATTAAAACACGTCACGAGACTAAAAATGCACCAGCTCATACATAACCCTTCAGTTCTATTCTTCAGCTGATGTTTCTTGATTTAATTCTACCTTTCAATTCGATTGAAATTGCACTTAATTTTGGCGCGAATGAAGAGGCAAATTTGCGTGTTGACAAA